ACCTGGGCCAGCGGAGGTCAGCCCCAGTTGGCTGTCAGCCAACCAATCTGAAATGCATCACCTGTTACCGGGCAGATTCCAGCTCCCCAGGTAGATGCCCCTTACCCAGGTAAGTGATGCAAGTCACGTAGGCAGAGGAAGCAGGTTTCCCCCTCCCTCAGGAATGCAGCCAGCTCCAGTTCCCTAAAGAGCCAGGCTGAGGGTGTGGTCCCCTGTGTGCTGGGCCCATCCTAATTGAATGGTCACAGCACAGAGATCCAAATCACAGTGTCACAGGGCAGAGATTTTTGGGGAGAAACCAAGGTGGCTTTCTGCCACACGGCCCATGAGGATCTCCCTAGCTCTGGAAATTGCAGGGAGCAGTGAAAGTTAACACTGTGGCAGCTCCCACGGGGCCAGACAACATGGCCCGTGCACCTGAACCAGCTGCATCTAAAGACTGACACCACACCACTCATCTGGCCTGAAGCCCAGAAAAGTTGGGCACCAATTAACTAGTCCAGCAGAGCTGATAGCAGATACTTGCATTTGCAGTCTGTCAGCATGAAATGCTCACCTTGACTTGGGCAGACAACTGCTCCATCTTCTTCTGCTGTTTGTCCATAATCTGCAATCAGAGGCAGGGGCATTAGGGACATTTAAAGAGCAAGTTTGTATGTTCAGCTCAATCCCCCTTGGGATTTTTGCTTTCATCTAACAGCTCAATCTCGCTCTTTAACCAAGCTGTACTTCAAGTGCTATTATTCCCAGATGGAAGATACCCTTAGAAGCATCAGTTAGGAACCCAGAGGTTGCATTCTTTCAGTCTTCCCCTCCCCCAGATGCCTCCCATCCCTGTGATGTTCAGGTGAATGCCATAGCACTGCATTGTTATCATACCAATGGCAGCTATCAAAACCCTCCCAGCACAGCATGCCAAGAGCTGCTAGATCAGTGTGCTTGGAAGCACATGCTCAGCGTTAAGCAGAAAGAAGCTTAACCAATGATGTGACAATGGAAGGGAGGAGGAATCCAAGTCGACACAGAGCAATGCTGCCTCTGTCTTGTTGGCAGGCTGCATTACCTTCCTGAGTCGATCGCATTCTTTCTGCAGAGAATCCGATTCTCCTTGTTGTTTCTCCACCACCTGAACTGAAGTCCCCTTCTCTGCACTTGTCATGCACTGCTGCACCTTGTCCTGCAAGCTGCAACAAACAGCGCATTGAGCAGATGGACAGAGAACAGGAGATTCAATGGGACTGGAACAGAGACAGGAAGGGAAGCAGTGGGCAAAAAGCTTCTCCTTACCCTGTCCTCCTTGGGACTTTTGGGGACCTCCATGAAAGATTTGTGGGGAGGAAGATAGGTCAGTCCCTGTAACACAGCTAATCCTCCCCACTCTGTGCCAAAGCTCTCAGTCATTCTGCTGCAGTTTGTGGGATGCAGGCGCCTGCTCGGCAGCAGCTGGAACATGTACCTTGGGGTAGTCCCAAGCCACAGCAGATTAAGAATCAATACCAAGGGCAATCTCCAGAGAATCAATATGTGCCCAGAGCACAGCTCTGCTGCAGTGGGGAGAGGCACCTGACTCTCTGCTCCCAGCAAACAGGGGTCTGGCATGACTGGCCCTTGCTGTTAAGCAGGGTCCATCTCCCTCACTGGAGGATTTACCTGTGCACAGTGGAAAGCAGCTCCAGCTCTCTGCATTTCTGGGCCTCGATCTGTGCCTCCTGCTCCCTGCACATAGCACGGACATCTCCAAGCTCTCTCTCCAGCGCTGCTGCCGTGTCTTGTAAAGCAGCAATCTTCAGCTCCGACTCCTTTAGCTGCAGCAGAGAGCACCACTCAACAATTCTAGCTATTTTGCCATATACACCATGTCAGGGCTCAGCTAGTGACTAGCTGGGATTGTTACTGCCTGTTTGCAGCCTAGATCAGGACACTTTTTCAGAAAGGCCAGTTTGCACTTCTGCTTGGCCAAACACCTGGATGGGGTTTTGCAGCAGTAAACTAGAGCTCACACCTAATTCAGACCGGCACCTTGAGTATCCCAGGCACACTGTCTTACCTGCTGACTCTGTTTCTGATGATCCTCCAAGGTTGGCAGATCAGCCAGATACCGCTCGAGGGTCTCGATCCTCTGTTGCCTCTCCCGGTTTTGCTCAGACTCCTTCTGGCATTTCTTTTTCAGACCGTTAATATGTCTGTCTCTCCCTTTTACCTGAGGGGAAAAAATTTGAAAGCATGGCTTGCTTAGGCTACGATTTCCTGTGCGTCCACAGTCTCCTCCTCTGTCCCACTATCATTAAGATACCTGACTGAGAAGAAAAGCTGTTAAGATAGGACACTTGCCCCCGCCAAATGTCTTGTTTCAAGTGTCTGCTAGTGACTCAGTTGTCCTGAGGTAGTGAAACACCCTAGGAGTTCAGAAGCAATCAAACCTGCTGCTAAAAGTAAGGAGCTGGTCTGTGCTCCAATTAGAAACCCCTTATTGTATCTCTTCTAGATTATGAAGTAGCCAAGTGCCATCTTGGCCCTTACAGGGACTGCGTACAGTTTAAACTACAATTACAAAGATAGTTATGCACCACAGGACATAGCCCTCAGACTTCTGGTGCACAGTTGGCAAGCCTCTTAGCAGTGCAGTGTGTGAGGGCTCTTGCCCACCATCTTCAACAAGCTCTTTTCAAGTCACCCCAAGAACTTCAGGAAGTGCAGCGTGTATTGAAGAGACATCTACCAAGGCAGCATAGCAAGTTTTCCCACCCACGGTCTGCCCTGTGGTTTTCTTAAGTCTACTTAGCACAAACAACAGACTTGCATACAACTTGCTTCTCCAACTGTAAAAAGACAGGATCATTGCATTTGATAGGAAAAGAGAGAGAGCAGCCCCTTCAACTGCTGTGAGGAGAAAAGAGGAAAAGCCTGTTCTATTCTGTGGATGCAATTAAATCAACATTAACTATACTGAAACCGTTTGCTCAGTGAGGAGTGAAGTTCCAGGAGTACAAGCCATTGATTAGACTTTACACCTTGAGCAGAGGAAGAGATTTTGTGCCCAGGGAGGGCATCCAAACTATCTGTTGTACAAACCCTTGAACACTCCCTGGTGAAGTCTTAGTCATATGGATTTATGAGCAAAACCAAGTAACTAGCAATAGCTCTAGAGAAGTCTTTCGGCCTTTGCCTCAGTTCTGCCTCCCAACAGACAGGAAGTACCCATGGGTACATCGATTGATCAGTCACCCTCTACTTGAGACACAGCAGATTGGAAGGCTCTACAGAGTCACGTTGGTGAAGTGCTCTGACACTGGGAGAGGGCTCAGAAGTGCCCCGTGTTCTACACTGCAAGCAAGCAGGAACAGGCAAAGCTATAGCAACTGGGGCCCCTGCAGGACACATTAGGAAATTTGGTCATCACACCAGACGACAAAGCCAACATGTTTAATGATTTCTTTGCCTCCATCTTCCTAAGCAGGGACCGGAACAGTCACCCCCCCTGCTGGGCCCCCCTCAGGCCCCAGGGGAGGCACACCTAGGCCAAGGGTTAGTGAGGAACTAGTTAGGGAGCTTCTGGAGGGACTGGACGTATTCAGGTCAGCCAGTCCAGACAATCTCCACCCTAGAGTACTAAAGGAATTGGCCAAGGTCGTTGCAGGACCCCTGGCACAGCTTTACGAGCACTCGTGGTGCTCTGGTGTGGTGCAAGAGGACTCGAAGAGGGCCAATGTGGTTCCCATCTTCAAAAAAAGGTAAGAAGGAGGACCTGGGAAACTATAGGCCCGCACTGTTCAACATCTTTATCAGTGACTTGGACGAGGGGGTAAAAAGCACCTGTTCAAATTTGCTGATGACACT